GATTTGGGGAGTCTTTATGGGTGCCTGTTTTTAACAAGGAATCAAGCCACATTGTTCTCCCACATTTTGTAAGACAGCCAGCAAAACCATCCACGTCTCTCCATAATATACTTCTTGAAGATCTCTGTTGCCCTATTGCAGGTATTCAGGAAATCAGCCAAGCTGCACCCCAAATATGTTGGGGTTGTGCTTGGGTAGACCAAGAATAATTCATTTATGTAATTATAAATTAGTTTCTGGTGCAAAGGTGGTCCAGATAAGAATTTTCAACAATAAAGAGATATGTTTTTGCCATCATAGGCAGAACAAGAAAGCTTGTTCCTCATAACCTTCTCTCACCAACCACAGAGCATTTTTATCCTGTTTCTAACTGTCCCCACTTTATTTTTACTATTAGTGGGCTTGAGTGTTATTTTGGGCATAAATTCAAGAAATAAAGCAAAAGCTAACAGGTTTTTCTATATAAATTATAGTAGTATGTGAAGTAGACACAATATTAAAACCCCGAAAAGTCTTCATTGAGTTTCACCAGTTTTTATCAAATTACTTGCAATTCTTAAAACAAACAAAGCTAGTAGTCAAACGTAACATAATTACTACAACCATGAGCCATTTGAAATTATGAAGTTTTATAATACTGCCATACAAGAATAGTCTTTCACTTAGGTGATAGGTTGACAGGTTTCTCTTAGAAACCACATTTATAGCTTTAAGAACCATAATCATAGTCTCTGGGATTATCCTCTGCTTTCTTGTGGCTCTTCAGACATATGACCTATACCAGATCAATTGATTCTTTCCTCCCGGCCCCCATTTTTTTAGGCATCTTCTACAATATGGCAGCTCCAGTTAGGTCAGGGGGTCCTCAACCTTGGCAACTTTAAGACTTGTGGACTTCAACTCCCATTGCAGTCCTGAAGCATCTGGAAAGCACGAACCTGTGGCGTATTCTAGGCTGATGTTCTAGTATACAAGAAATCTTCTATCTTGGATGTTTTGGAGGACATAACATTCTCAACCTGGGGTATTTTTTCATCTTCCAGATTTTTTTTTCTTCCTAGAATGTTTACAAGGCTTACCTAGATCAGTCTTGGAAGCATCAAGAAAGCTGAAGACCTTTAGTACATTGTGGGATAATATTGTTTGTCCTCATCTGTTGTAATCTCATACTCTATGGAGCAGATTTTTGGGTTTCACATGTGCTCAATGGTACCAGAAATGCCCACTTAATTTGTAAACTATCTCTGTTGAATGTGCCTGATGTTAAGAACCTTTTTAATAAATGAAAAAGTTAAGCCCTATCTTTAGCCAGCACATAGAAAAGGATCAGGTCCTCTATACCAAGGGTCTTCAAACTTGGCCCTTTTATGACTTGTGGACTTCAACTCCCAAAATTCCTCAGCCAGGCACACAAGTCATAAAACGGCCAAGTTTGAAGACCCCTGCTCTATACCAAGTTTGGGCATTATCACAGGAAGGAAAAGTAAATGTGAATTGATTTTCAAAATCCTTAACACCGTAGTCCAATAATTTAACAGCTTCATGGTCCCTGAGTGTTTCTGTGTGCTATGCTCTCCGGGGTACCCTTGAAAGAAAAAAGATAATCTGAGGCAATCTGGACCCAACTATGCATGATGAAACACAATGTGAATGACTACACTGCAGCAGGACCACCCAGGGAATACATGCATAATATGGATCATAGAATTCTCCTGTAAGCTCTTTCCAGGCAGTTGGGTGTATAATGTTCTAACAGGAGCAGTGCGGTGTTTGATGAGGTATTTTAAAATGCTTAAGAGATTCAACAGTAGTTTATAATGCAGTGAGAAGAATTAAAATCAAAGAGTGCGAGGAACCCTTTGCAAACATCCACAGCCTTCTCTGGTTCATAACTATGTTTGATATGCCATCGCTGACTTCCTTATAAGAATTTTACTTTTGTACACTGCCCAAACTCCGAGATGAACGGCCATAAAACGTGATACGTAAATAAAAATAATACCAGATTTGGATGACAAACCTTGAGGGATAACTGCCCTTTATCGAATGCTGTCTGAGCGCTGCTCCAAAGATGGTTAAATGCTCGATTTACTTTGGCATTCAGCAAAATCACGTCACCTTTATTCTCTCTTCATAGGAGCACATGTGAGATTAAGCGATGTCAGAAGTTCTACATTTAAATTAGCCTTTCCCAAACTGCCATTCTTCAAACGTGGGAGCCAGATTGGGGAAGGCTGATCTAGATAACGCTTGGAGTTCAGCCAGACCTTTGAACTGAACTGCTCAATATTTAATAATGGGTAGCTTCACATCAGAGCAACTTGGGCAAAAATGCTTCTTCTGGTACCAGAATGTAGGCTTGTTATTTTTGTTTCTTTTTATAGAAAAATGACCCATCAATTTTTTTTATCATTTTTCTTTAAACAAAAAAGAGGCTACTTCTGAAAGCCATTATTTGCCATAAGTTTATAAGCCACAAATACTTTTTGTCCTGTAATCACTCCTTCAAACAAGGCAAAACCACTAATGTAACCATGTCCTGATCAGTCTTATGAAGAGAGGACAAGGTTGCAAGTGATATATTAGTGAAAAATTTGGTTCCAAATGTTTAAACTTCCTCTTGTTTCCAGGATTTTCATGTCCCCTCCCTTTTAGTGTTCTGGATAACCACACAGATGTGATATCTTCTTCATAAAGCTGTGGTCACAATTTCATTTATAAAGTGAAAGCCTTGGTAGCCCAGATCAGGAAAATAAGTGGGGGTTTTTTTTCAATCATTCTACCAAAGAACGTATCTGGGAATTCTTGTATGCTTCACCGCAACCATCACAAAAGTTGAAGCTATTGCCTCCTTTTTACAATCAGAAAAATGCAAAGCACATTGATCTTCAAATACCTGCCTTGTTAGAGAAAGAATTAAGTTTATTTTTTGTAGAATTGGCTATTTGATTTTTTCCCCCTCCACTCCCACCCACCACCGCACTTTTTTTCGCCTCCCAAACTGATCAAATGAAGGCAGGACCGGCATTATCCTTGTATTAGAACTGGACAGTTTACCATGCAAAGATGAAGAGCTATTTGAGTTAAATCTTCATACTGCCCATCTATGGGCAACCTCTCTTAGAAAAGCAGCCGAGTGCTAAGGATAATAATAATAATAGCATTACAAGATGGTTTGGTGGTTATTTTTGTTTGAGTTCTTTTAAAAGCCATACAGTTTTAACTAAAGAGTTCTTTTTTTTTCTCTCAAAAAGAAAGGGAAAACAAATGACACTTGGCATAAATAAATAAATAAACAAACAAGCAAACAATACTTTAAAAAATACACGACTAGAAGAAAAAAGGGGTCTGCCCCCATCAACACATATATATTTATGACATGCAAGAGATTAAAAGAGAACTGTTCTGAGTTTTCTTATCCAAAGCAAATCAGAACTAAAACATTTAAAACAAACAAACAAACAAACAAAAACAAAAAAAACCAAAATAAAATTGCAGGAATTGCAGAAGAAAGCTCAGATTCAATTTGGTTTGCAAATACCACATTTTGGAAGCATTGCATTTAAGGTATTTTGAATACCATCAAAAGGCACCAAAGGATTGACTCAGCCAAATCCATCAGAGGCCATTTGTGGGGAATCGTGACAGCAGGTTGCAGTTAATGGTAGCATCCCTGCCCCTTTCATGAATGATGAGTCAAAATGTTCCTGCGGCAAACCTGCTCTTTCTGACTTGCCTTTGTTTTTCCTGTCTGAGGCTCTTTCCAGATAAGAAAATGGGGCTTTCTGGCCTTTAGAATAAAGTTACATTAGTCTGCATTCAGCAAGAATAGTGCAGTCTCCTGTCCAAATGCAGTGAAAAGAGAATTTGCATTTGTGGAAAGGAAACAGCTCTTCTTTGCTGAGTGGGATGGGATAGGGCGGGATATCACCGGGGAAGTTTACCTAATTCCTAAATTTTAAAAAAGAAGTCTTGGCGGGTTTTTTTGTTTTGTTTTTTTAAAAAAGGACGGTTGCATCAACAGAACTGAAGTACAGGTAAAGGAAGAAGACAAAGAGAAGGAAGTCAGAAAGCCTGAGGTGGATTAGTCTGGCTTTAATGGTCTTCATCTATTCCTAATGTAAGTAAGTTAGTGACATGGCCAAAGTGAAGACGGATCATAGGTCACCTCTGATGTCACAGACACTACTCAACAGGTGACAATGAGAGTTGTGCACCTAGACTTCATTGCACTTTCAAGGCAGTGAGTCCTTTGTGGAAGGGGTGAAAAACCTGAAGGTGGTGTTTTTACAGGCTGCAACCTTATGTTATTATGTTATTTTTAATCCGATGTGCAATCTGGGGCAAAAAAAAAGATGTATCTCTCACAAGAACTGAGTTACAGGAAAACATTCATTGTGTGGTAAATGCGCACAATAAATGATCATCTGGAAAGGCCCTGAGTTAATAAAAGGAACACACCACTTTAAAAAGGTAAACGGTCAATTACAAGAAATGAACCAACAGGTATCTTAATTCCTGTTTCCAAACAATGTAAAACAAAAGAAAAATCTCCAAGTAATTTTTTTTTAAAAAAGAGATAGCTTAATCCAATGCATCTTTGTTTCATGGCCTTGGCTGAGTTTTGTTTTCTTTTTTCATAAATATAATTTAGTAATCTTACTTTGGTTCTAGATTACAAATTATATTTTGTAAAGGAATTACATTTACCAGTAACTACTGGGGAAATGAAAGCATACAGATTTCAAGCTCACTGTTGTGGTAGCAGCTTGGTCGCTTTAAGTACTTAAAATTCAACTGTTCCTAATTTGCTTTGCCATCCAATTTCTTTATATTGGGGGGAAAGCAATAAATGTTGGAATCTGAGAGTTTACCTCTACACAGTTAGTGTCTGCAGAGGAATGATGAAAAAAAACAAAAAAACAAAACAAAAAACAAAGAGGAGAAGAAAACAGGACAATTTTTTTTTAAAAAAAAACACTTTTGTTTGCTAATCTCCAGAATATTAGGTTCCCAAGGAGCATCTTTTCTCCCTCCTAGTTAACCTTGTCTTGAAATATATACAGGTTATTTGTTGCGGCCACTGCTATTATATTTTCTGAAGGATGCCAAGCTGTATGCAGGATCTTTTTGCTAAAGTCCAGACTGTCCACGCTAATTTCATCTTTCCTCCTTTTGCCCCCAACACAAACTTTGCGAGGCTTCAGGATGGCACGGGGTTTGCTGTTTTCTCTTGAGGCTTCAAGAGTCACATCACGCTTGGTATTGCGATCAAACATTCTAAAGAAATTGTTGTAGGAGCCAGTCATGATGACGCTGAGAAGAAAGAAAAAAAATGTCCAGTGAAATTTAGAATCTTTTTAGTTTTTCTTCTTCTCTCAACCACATCCCATTTCAGAACAGATCCAGCTTTAAAAAATACCTACCATATCTCCTTCCTCTCTTAGGCAGTGTGATGGCTCAGTGGTTAACGATGCTGAGCTTGTCAGCTACAAAGCTGACAGCCCGGGTTTGAGACCTGAGCGCCACATGACAGGGTAAGCTCCTGTCACTTGCCCCAGCTCTCCTGCCATCTAGCAGTTCGAAAGCATGCAAATGCGAGTAGATAAATAGGTACCACTTCAGTGGGAAGGTAACAGCATTCCGTGCATCTCGGCGTATAGCCATACTGGCTACATGACCACAGAAATGTCTTGGGACAATGTTGGCTCCCTTGGCTAAGAAATGGAGATGAGCACTGCCCCCTAGAATCGGGCAAGACTGGACAGGGGAAATCTATCTTTACCTTTATTTCCTTTCTTGGGAAACCCCAAAGCAGTGAGGGATAGAATAGCAGGTCAGGAGGCAATTTGCTGGCTCTGTAAATGTCAACTTAAAGGGGGACTATAATCACCATCGGTAGTTAGGCCAGTTACAGCTAATGCATTTATGCAATGAGAGAAGTCTTCCTTCTTCATTCCTGCAATTTCCACTTATAATAAGGTAAGGTAGCTAAATTGGACCACACTTTGGTAGGTGGCATGGGGACAGTTGTTGGAACTCATCTCATTTCTTATCATTATTTTGTGTGTTCATCCCAATTCACAAAATGCAGGATGATGACTTTTTTTAAAAAAAAAATCTTAAATATCAGAATGATGATCAGTCAAATAAGCACTAACCACCTGAAAAGAGAATGATGATACATGGATCCAATTAAAAGCTTCAGCAAATTCAACAGCTGGCTTGGTTGCCCCCATAAATATTTAGATCAAGGGGAATGTTGCCTGCAAATAAGGAAGGATCCCAGTGCAGCACCATCCCTTAGATCAGGGCCGTTCTTGGGACTGGTGGATTCAGAGAAATACTCCTGTCCACAGATCCTGCAGGCTAATATTTAGACTGAAAATGTAAAAACTAATTACAATGGCAAGTTAATTTCATGCTTAATTTTATGTTACAAATGAGCAATATTTGAATTACTTTTTAATTTTCTAATTGTCCATAGCTGAAAGTATAATGTTGACAAAAAGAAAAATCCTAATTCCATTAGCCATAGTTTCTAAGGAAAAATTAAGCAACAATTATATAGGTCATTTTAATTTCATTTCTATTTCATAAATGGAGCCAATTAAATCTTGGCTTTGCATGCCTAGCTATTTTAGAAATTCTAATTTATGTCAGCTAGTGAAAGTTCCTTTGCATTTAAAAAAAAACCCACAGCTCATCACAATGCTTATGTACCATAAGAACATTAATAGGTTGGCATCATTGTGTGCAGCTCATTTCATTATCAGTCCTCTGCTGATCAGGTTTTTGGGATCTGTAGGCTTGGCCCAACATAAGCAGTACTCATTCAGCTATCTTAATTCAAGTAACTTCTCTTCAGATTGCTTGCAGCCTTTCTTTATATGTCTAATGTTAGTTTTCTGGATGACAAGAAGAGCTGACATTTGAACAAGTCATGAGACTTATTTGTTGTTGTTGTTGTTAGTTGCGAAGTCGTGTCCGACCCATCGCAACCCCATGGCTCCAGGCCTTCCTGTCCAAGTTTCAATGAAATCTGAATTTTAATGATTTTTTTTCATTTGCAAGATAATCTTTTCTGCACTGCATGAAGAAGCAAAGTGCTGAAAAGATAAAAGTGGATGGATTTGAGGAATCAGAAAATGAAAAAAAAAAACCAATAATCCTGCGTATAACTCCTTACCTGTCTGACCCATTCCATACACATTCAAATTTATCAAAAATGCAATCATTCTCATAGAGGGAGCACAGCTTGCTGCGGAGGTAATCATGAACCTAGGAGAAAGAGAGACACAAAGAATAAAAAGAAAGAAGCATTCGGAAAGAAAGCCATGCTAAAGTTCGATTCAAGCTCTGCTCACAGATTCCAGAGGACAAGAGTCTAAAGTTATTAGCAACAGTTATTTTATCTTAGCTTCTACCATGGATGTTTTAATTTCAGTGTTTTGTTTTCTGTTGTTCTTACTACTAAAAACCACCAAGAGTCTGGTTTTTATAACTGCATTAGCAATATAGTTGAAATCAGTGAATTATGTGTTTGCCAACTCCAAGATCTCACAGCATAATAAATGAATACATGTAAAAATAAATGGTTTTGAAGCATTTAAGGAATGCTTGTGAAGATAGTCACACTCTCACACACTGTATTTAACACCTACACCAGGGGTGTCAAATTAGTGGCCTGCAGGCTGGATGCGTCACGTGTAGGCCCCGCCCACCCCGGCTCCGCAAAGGCAAAAAACGCCACTATACGTTACGCGACGCAATCAAGTTTGACACCCGTGACCTACACAATTCATTCACATCCCAAGAAACAAAGGATTAAGATAAAATACCTGGTATGTCTCAATAGGTCTGTTCTCCATATTTAGATCCCACACCTTGACAGTGAGATAATCCCTGGTCATGATGTATCTCCCAGTATGGCTGAACTTTACATCAGAAATTGAAGAGATGATCTCAGAAAAAAAAGATCTGTTACTTGGATCTTCGGGCTCTTCAAAAACTACACATACCACACACACAAAAGAAACAACATAAATATAGTCAAGGTATCTGTATCGCTCGACTTAATCTGATAAATTATGAAAATATTTGAATTTCCCACCTAGTTAGGCATAAGAAAAATTCTGCGAGTACATGTTAAAAACCCCTAAAAAAGACTTAACATATTTGCTTGAAAGTAAGTTTCCCTGGACTTCATTGCCTTTATTTTGGAGTAAAAAAGAGTGTAAAATTATATTGCAAAACCCACTGAAATCAGTGGAACGGAACCACACAGATAAAGACTTACGTTTCATCAATTTCATTGGGAAACTAAATGATCACATTAGATGCAATACCTTTGAGGCTGTTGTGCTCACAGCTCAAACCTTTTATCCACACTAATTTTCACTTATTATTGCATGTATTAGTTTAATATAGAAAGCAGCACAGTAGATTCTTGCAGGCTTAGTTCTGCTTACAGCTCAAGTGATCCACAGGAACCAATGAAACTTAACTTAGTCATGATTAAATCCTACCTGCTGTGTTTTAAGATGTGGAAAATTACCCTGGTTATTTCACATCACAGAATTTGATTTTATTTTAAGATAATATTAAGAGGAGTCCACCTGACAATGTAACAAGAGCACTATAGAAACAAAATCACTTATCGTTCTTCGTGTATCCTGAAAAGGCCCTTGAGTCAGCTACAGTTGTACAACTAAAGGAGATAATTACTACTGACTCTCTTAAACTCAATGAAAAATGAGTCCTGCTCCACTTCAGGAGTTCAGCTTCAACCCCAACAGGCAAAGTTTGATGCAACTGATGAAAACAGTGGATTTCTGTGCTACTGTGACTTGTTTGTTTTTGATTTAACATCATCATCAATCACACCACAGCAAAAAATTTAAAAAGTATATTTCACAAACACTAAATCCTTAGCTATATATAAGATACCTAAGTTGTCCTTTCATTTAAAAATGTCTTGAATATATGCTTAAATATCAAACAGTCACTCTGTGAGAGAGATGGGCAGTTTCTTAAAAGCTTGAAGCAAACAGCTACTGTATATTTCAAGATGGATCTAAGACAATTTGACAGGAACTCTGCAACCATGAAGATAAAAGAAATGAAAAAGAGTGAATTTTCTAGAGACAATGGGATTTCTTTCAACATACATACACAATGTAAAATCATGAAACAGCAGAAATGCTGTATGTATCCTTCCCCTCAGAGAAACATTTAACATCTAGGCACCACAGAAATTTTTTCAAAGGCAGTACGAAACTGGCAGTAGCAGTTTCATAGCAAAAGAAAAAAAAACTTATTAAGCAAAGGTGTTTTTTTTTACTTTTTCTGCATAAATATTTGGCCAACTTTATTACTCTGCAATAAACACTGGAACACTGGATTGTTAATCCTGTTTTTTGGTATATAGGAAGGCAATAGGAAAAATAATTCTCAAATGCTAGGATAAATGTTCTCTCTCCAAATATGAAATAGCATCCCTCACAGCATTCTTAAGCTTAACGTCTAGTCATTGCCAGCAGGAAATCTAATGATTTACAATTTTTTAAAAAAAAATAATAATAAAAACTTCACAGCAGAAAAATAAAATCAAGACCTCAGGTGGCTTGCACAAAGTATCAAACTTCTATATCATAATCATGGACTTGGCCACACTAGGGAGCACAATTTGGGAGATTAAAGAAACCTAACAAACATCGCCATCATTTCTAGGAGATCTGTTCTGTGTAAACATAGCTTGAACGTGACAGTAGAAGCCTGGGACTGACTATTTCTGATGTTGACACAAGGGAGAATTTGCAACTACCATCAAAATGTCAACATGTAATACAAATAAGAAGTGTAAGGCTATCCTGTATGTGACACAGGATAGATGTGATGCTTTTCTTTAGAGCAGACTCTGGAGGCTTTAGATTGATTGGGGCAGGATTACTGGAAGCGTATGGAAGGTTAATCCTTCCCTTGTTCTGTCTTCTTGATCAAAGCCCCCCACCCCAACACACACCACTATTAAGTCATTCACCACCCATCAATCATGCTGACGGATATTCCTCAACTTACAACCACAATTGAGACTGGAATTTCTGTCACTAAGCAATGCAGCTGTAAAGTTTTGACCAGACCAGTTTGATCTAGTGGTTAAGGCACCAAGCTAAGAAAGCAGAAGACTGTGAATTCTAGTCCTGCCTTAGGTGGGAAAACCAGCTGGGTGACTTTGGGCTAGTCGCTCTCTCTCGCTCCATTCACCTCACAGTTTTTTGTGGGGAAAACAAAAAAAAGGAAGGAGCATTAGGTATGTTTGCTGCCTTGGGTAATTTATAAAAATAATAATAAACAAAAAGGCACAATGTCATGTGACTGCATTGCTTAATGACAGTAATCCTGGCAGTCCTGCTTGCTGTCAAAATTCCAGACATAAGGGCCATTAAGCAAGAAGTGGGAGGAGTCCCAGGTAAGGAGATTGGGGGTGCTGCAGGAAGGATGGGAAAGGTTTTGGGAGGTCTGGTGCAGACTTTGCACAAGTTTGGATGCAATGCAGCATGGCATCAGTTCAGGGAGGCCAGGGAAAGAGTATGCTGAGGCTCAGGGGTTTCTTGATACACTGTGGCTCTGGAAACGACAGCCACTCCAGCCTGGTCCAGCAACACAGCACAAAGCCACCACACCTCAGAAAACTACAGCATACTGGATGCTCCTGAGCTACAGTGCAGCATGTAGCTCAGCCCCAGTCTCACCCAGCAGAGTGGCACAAAGGGGCTTCATGCCAGCCCAGAAAGCTGCCACTATCCCAGTACAGTCCCAGTCCCAGCTGCCCTCCCTACCCTGCACTCCACTACTCAGCTCTACGTGTTCTTGCTTCCATTGCTGATGAGGTATGCCCAGCATGGCTGTTTGTCAGGCAATGTCTTATGTGGCCAGCAACTGCCTCATGAAGGGCCAGGGTGGGCACTCTTGGTCAGCAACGAGAGAAAGAAGATGGCAAAGGTCAACACAATAGGGTTGTAGAGTGCAGGAGACCCTAAGGGGGGGGGAATAGGATGGGAGAGGCTGAAGTGCCCCTGCAGTTGTAAACATGTGCGTGGGCCACCAAGCACCTCACATTTTGATCACATGTCCATGGGGATGCTGCAATGGCCATAGTTTTGGGGAAGAATCATAAGTCCCTTTGTTCAATGCCACTGTGTCTTTGAACAGTCATGGAACAAATAGTTGTAAGTCAAGGACTACCTGTACATCATTTTATCATGGGCATCTAGAGGAATTTATCAGTAGGGCGGTGATAACCTATAATATTGGATATGATTGTAACTTCATTACATGGCATTCACCAATATAACCCATCTATGCATTCTTATTTTGTTGCTCTTTGTCACATTCCATAAGAAAACCGAGTACCACAATCTTACTCCATATAGAATATTTGTGGCACTATCACCTTTTCTGTAACTGACAAGTTCACATTATTGGACAGGAAAAGCATCCAATATCTTAAAATGGAAACATGCAAAATCCCCAAGCTGTTCCAGTCTTAAAATTGTGTGGACTACGTGAAGGAAAACAAATGCTTGCCAACTCTGAATCAACTCTGTTATTCCGCATTCTTTATTCTATTCCACAAAGCAGCATTCTTCTATATCTGCACACTTTGGCTGAGCGCAGTAGGATTTGTACAACCACATTTCCCCGTTGTATATATTTTTCTTTTAATATATAGACTCTATGTGTGAGTGTGTGAATGCGATGTATACTAAATTATGATGTGTGTGGGTGTGTTATATATACACGCAAGCACACATGTCTTGAGAACTCCAGTGTAAAAGTTGAGGACGAATCTTAATTTCCAATTTGCATACTCGACTCAGATGTGCTTGTCTTAAAATGTGAACTAAATACATTTCCCCAACCCTAGTTTAATGCAGGTTGAAGTCAAATAACATGGAACAAATATTTTGAAACACACGAACAATCATATTTTGCTTGCAAGGATTTAGAAATGGATTTAAATCTAGGTTTCCTTGAACATATCCAAGCCCAACAAGTTTAGTAAAAGCCACTTTAAAAGAATTGTGATTTATTCATCAGAAGATTGACATAAACACCTTTTGATTTATTCATCAAAAGAGTGACATCAACACCTTCCTCTGTACATTTTCATTTTAATTATCTGCAATTACCAGATGGTGCTCCTTCATTAAATAAAAGAAGAAAACTTGACAGTACCATGACAACTTACACAGAAGCAGCTTTGGATTCAATCATCACAACTAGTAGCCAAATATTTGGTGGGGGAAGGGTACTGCCAAAGGATACCTTTAGACAGGGGAGGGTTCCATATTACACAAAAGTTCATGCCTACTAATTTAGTTTAGTTTTGTTTTGGAAAACCTTCTATTTCTCAGAAACGAAGCAAATACATCTAGCCAGGAATTTACACCAAGTTGTTGATTTCAGTTTTCTGTCTAACACCATCCTCAGAGAGACAATGCATAATAAGGTATGGAATTGGGTGTATAATATCAAATCTGTACAGGGAGATATAACATTTTCTTTATGAACTCCTGTGGTTTATTATTGTTATCATTCATCGCACAGTCAGTCAGATGTTCAGATTTTCAGACTGAATTTGGCATTTTAAACCACGTACCGAGTCCTTCCCAAGGACCTGGGATAGGCAAATGTTGATGTTTGATGGTGTTAGAGGTATTATCACTGTTCCCAGTAAAGCTGCCTTTTGCAATTGATCGATGCTAAATTTGTCAATGCCGATGGTGTGAATTTGTCAATACAGGTAGTCCTTGACTTACGACCACAACTGAACCCAAAATTTCTGTGGCAAAGTGAGGCATTTGTTAAGTCAGTTTTGCCCCATTTTATGACCTGTCTTGCCACAGTTGTTAAGTGAATCATTGCAGTTGTTAAGTTAGTAACGCAGTTGTTAAGTGAATCTGGCTTCCCCATTGACTTTGCTTGTCAGAAGGTCACAAAAGGTGA